GAAGCGCTTATTGCGCTGAGCCATCTCCCCGGCCCCACACACTCTTTTTAAAAAGCAGCTTTATTGCTCCTTGATGCTTAGAGAATTCTCCACTGAACAGTGAAATTTTATGTGTTTCTTTTTCTATGGAGCTAATCTCACTACTTGATTCGCAGAGAATGATGCTTATATAAAAACACATTGTGAATTCGGTTTTTTTTCTCCTGAAGTGTGATTACTGATAACATTTGGGTTTATTTTTGGAATCTTTTGAAATGCTATTTACCCTGCCTCCCACTGTATTTCTTTCTTCTTCCTTTCCTGTTTTCAGGTAGACTGGGTTGCTTTCTTTTATGTCGGAAATATATTTGTTCACAATTTATAGTAACACATTGAGGGGCCACCCTTAACACGCATGCAGATTCATCTGAAAATGTGAGGTGAATCAGAGTGTTTTGGAACTATGCGACCATTTACAGCAGAACTACTGCTTGAGGCAGGCAGTGCTAACTGGCTGAGGTGTCCTCGCGACAATGGAGACTGTGGGCGCCTCCCGAGGGCCCCTTTGCCTTTCTTTCCACCAGCACACTAGGGACGGAGCCTTGGGCCTCAAGCGTGCTAGGCAAGAGCTGCGGGGGCCGGGGTGATGGCTCAGTGGAATAAGTGCTTCCCTGGCAAGCGCAAGGGCCTGAGTTCAATCCCCCTTCTGCCAAAAAAAAAAAAAAAAAAAAAAAAGCTGCAGCACCACCCCTGGGGCCAGCGTGCCCATGCCAGCCCTAGGCCTGCGCACCAAGCGGGTCTGCGGTCCTCGTGCTAACTGTTGGGAGGACAAGGGCTCCCTGGCTGGAAGGTCCACGCCCCAGACCTCGAGGGCACACTGTAGCCAATGCCTGTTACAGGGAATACAAAAAGCCAGTCCCTTGCCACAAGGGGAGACAACTCAGGGGTTCCTGCACTAGATGCCTACGGCAAGTGTACTTATTACTAGCAGAGTGGCGGAAAGCAGCACAACTTTACTATGTTGCACAAGTACGATGAATGTCATGGGTCATACTGCACCAAGATTTAGGTGTCTGCCAGCTGTGGTGATGCACCTGTGACCCCAGCACTTGGGAGGAGGCGGGAGGACTGCTTTGAGCTTGAGGCCAGTTTGGGCTACACAGTGAGTGTTTTCTGAGATGGACAATTTTTTTTGGAGGGTGGAACTGGGGATTGAACTCAGGCTCTTGGGGAGATGGCTCAGTGGAATAAGCACTTCCCTGGCAAGTGCAAGGACCTGAGTTCAGTCCCCGCCCTTCTGCCAAAAAAAAAAAAAAAAAAAAAAAAGAAAGAAAGAAACAGATGTGTAGGTAGGCTGGGGGTTTGTCAGCGGTGCAGCACTTGCCTAGCCTGAGAGGCCCTGGCTTCCATTCCTAGCACCATGAGAACACAAACAAGCAAATGAACAAAAACCTCTAAAGAGAAAAATAACACATGGTTAAAACAAAGAGCTGGGGTTTTCTTGTTTCCATTTGTACATATGGTTTCTCGACATAGTTATTGCCGCTACTCGTTTATCACTAAGCTGTATGTGAGGTCCTCCTGGGATCGAACCCAGGTCCGTGAGCTTGCCAGGCAGATGCTTAAACTGCCAAGCTATCTCCCTAGCCCACCTTCAATTCTTCATGTAAGTATATTTCAGTGTCTATTTTAGTTGAAAAGCTGAGGGCAGGCATTTCTGTGTTTCCCACCTTCCTAGTGTCTCATGTAAAGAATGGACACTAGAAATATTTTTCAAAATGAGCAACTGACCCAGCTACCCGAGGGCTCTAAAGTAGCCTGGCTCGTGAATCAGACCACACACGTGTGCAGGGAAGCCGGCCAGGGTTCCGCCTGATACGACCTGACCCCTCTCATGAGTGCCTGCTCCTTTTCATTCTACAGTAATGAAAAGCTTAGCAGGGCAGAAACACAGAAATGCACAAAGAAGGCGAAACAGGTATTCATAAGCAAAGTCACTTCATATTAAGAAAGTGTCAGGTTTATTTAGCATTATATCCGAGGCACTAATGAGAACAAAAGAAACTCAAGATGGATCCCACGTTCAATCTCAAGGAGGCTCAGGAACACGAAAGCACGAAGGCGGTAAGCAGTGTTCAAGGTGGGAAGTGTCACGCTTTTAGAACACACGCAGCATATGTACTGTGGAGAGCTCCCGGCAAACGAAGGTGGTCGCAGTACAGTAGCTGTGGTCCTTCTGATCTGAAGACTCCGGTCCTCTGCTGTTTCTCAATTCCAACCTAGAATTCTGTGGACAAATTAACAATCTGGAAAGGTTTGGGGTTAAAGAGACTGACAGGCTACAATGTTGGCCCCCAAACAGGGAAACTGGCCTGGTGTTCAAGAAATACAATGCTGCCAAAAGCCTGGAAGCCACAGTACTTAATCTTAGATTTGGCCAAGGAGACAATCTCTTTCAGGTACGATTTCATGGTTACGTGGAAAGTCAATTTTTCAGACAGTAAGAGGTCAAAATAATAATTAGGATTTTTAGAAAGAAAAAACGATGTACTTTCAGAGCTAATAAAATGAATCAATGACCCAACTATATGTACGCCCCAAATTAGTTCTGCCCAGGCTGCCAGGAGAAACAAATACAAAAATTAGAAGGTAACATACGAGAAGGTATTTTTAAAACTACAGACGTCAAAAAAGGAAAAAGAGCTTTAGACATGTTGTGATATTTCCTCAGAAGAGCCTTTTTTGAAAAGTAGCGCAAGGAAGAAATGCAAGGAGAAAATAACCTAAGGACTGGTATTACATCAGCGGAATCTAGTTGGTTTAATAATCTATTATTTCTAATGTCTTCCACAAAAGGGCATTACAGCTCTTCAAATTTATTGCAAATATATCTTAAAGAAAAGTCAGCCTTAGTACTGAAGCCATGAGACAAATTTTAAACTACTGGCACTATACTCTAAAGCACAATGAACATTGTATTTAACTTAAAAAAGGATAATATTTCACTGGGAGACAGAGCCAACAGTTTTTATCTCCTATCCATATCTAATAGGTGGCATCTTACTGGCTAGTTTCTAAACAGACGCAAAGGTTTTTAAAAATGCCAAAAGCCATGTTTTGCTCAAGAATACTATTATTCAAATACCACACAGGTTGTTTGACAGCAGATACTTGTTGGCCGGGATTCAGATGGCAAAATGCTAAGTTGGGAATTTGGAACTGTCCAGCAAGTTGTTTCTCCCTGCTTGGGTGGGAGAGAAGTCACCCTGCTGCCACTGTCTTCGCACAACTGGATTCACTAGGCAGGAGCATTCGTGTCCTTAAGATGCGAGGCCGAGCAAAAACCCTCCCACAAATCCACTGGATATCACAATGTTCTGTTTGATAAATTCTGTTGCCTGAAAAACAAATTAGGTTTAAACAAAATTACTCTTTATTATGCTACAATATGGCTGAAGTTTGAAAACATGATGTTGAATAAAATAAGGCAGACAAAAAAAGGCCAAACGTATGACTCTCCTTAAGTAGTGGTCAAATGTGCAGAAGGCAGCCTGGAGGCCATGGGGGGGGGGGCGCCACGGGGGCGAGGGCGAAATGGTGGCTCTGAAATGAGAAAGTTCTGCAAACGGACAGCAGCAAGGACTGCATGAAGCGGGGGCGAGCTGGGTGCAGCACGCCTGTAATTGCGGTACACTGGGGGGCAGAGGCAGGAGGGCCGGAAGTGGAGCTCACTTTGGTGACTTCTCAACTCAGTGAGACCTTATTTCACAATTAAAAAAGGGGGCTGGAAAAAAAAAAAAAAAAGGGGGGGCTGGGGTTCTGGCTCAGAACTAAAGCCCTGGGTTCAACCTCCGGTAGTTAAAAAAAAAGATGTGTCTGTACTTAAATGCTGTTGTACTGTACACATCAAAGGGTTAAAACTGTATATAATATACCATTAAAACTGTACATAATATAAAACTAATATAAACTAAGTTTTATGTTATAGATATTTTACACCAAAAAAAGATACAAAAATTTAAATACTTTTTATTGAATCAAACAAAAACATTCTTCTTTTTTTGAGACAAGGTCTTGCTATGTAGTTCAAGCAGGCCTTGAAGTCACTATGTATCCCAGGCTGGCCCTGAACTAACAGCAACCTTCCTGCCCAGCCTCCTGAGCGCTGGCATCATAGGTATGTGCCACGATGCCCAGCTAAGTAACATTCTTAATTTTTTTGTTTTTGTTTTGAGAGGGTCTTGCTAAGTACTTTAGGCTAGTCTTGAACTTGTGAAGATTTTCCTGCCTCAGCCTCCCAAGTCCTGGGAATATAGGCATGTACCATGATGCCTATATTTCCAAGAATACAGGCAACATTCCCAGCTTTATTTTAGTTCAATAAATACTCAGTAAAAATTCCTATGTCCCTACAACTGCTGGTACCAAACACAAT